GGGGGGGGGGGTTTGTTGCTGGTGCTTGAGTCTTGAAGGGTGGGGGTAGCCAATGGTGAGATGTGAGAGTCCACCTGTCTAGTGAGAGGCATATGTCTGGGGATGTCTGTTGTCCAATAGCCTCAGTTGAGAGCAAGTATCTGTCACTGTACAGTGTGTGTAGTGGTTGCAGGTGACATAAAGGGGTGCAGGTTGTGGGACTGTGCAGTAGGAAGGAATGCATGTGGTATATGCTGGTCAGTTGGTGAGGAAGAAACGGTGGTAGGTGGCTGTTGCTATTCCTTTCAGAAGCACAATGGTCATTTTGGTGGTCAACATTGGCAGTTCACGGTCTAGTTTAACTTGTTGCTTGCAATTTATTTTAAAGATATCTTTAACCTGTCACAAATATGGATAGTTCAAAACGAGCATTTGATGTAAAATTATAGTAGCAGGTGTTACCTTCAGAAAAAGCGGCATGTCACAATGATCAGCAGATCCAGAGATACAGACAGCTAGATTTATATGCAAATCTTGAATTCTTCAACTTACATTGAGCTCTAAGAAATATGTATTTTTTAATAGTTGACTTGCAAGTGGAGAGTAAAGAAAACCAATGGATGGGTGTCAGTGTACAGAGTCAAGGACCAGGAGGCAAAATTGTGGTACGTGCTTATCAAACCTTTTTTTGTTTTAATTGAAATAAGTTATATCTATTATTGGTTTACTAGATGACGAGAAGGAAAGCCCTGGGCTCTCTAGAACATATTATGTTTTAACCTCCACGGCCAATAATATTTATTATTTTCTTTCTTCTCTTGATGGCTAACATGGCGCAATCCTCTGGTCCACTTTCTCATAGAGGACCTGTTCCATGGAAGCTGTGCAAATCCATAGTCATTAGTGTTGTCTGTAGGTTTCCTGTAGCTGCTCTTTTTCCCATTACTAACTTACCTGCCTTGCTCTGCACTGTGTCTCTGTGCGAAGGTGACCATCTGCCTCCCTGATGACTGGCACTCCTAATATATTAAGTAGGGAGATCCTTGCAATTCATGTACCCAGGCACAGCACACCCTCAGGGTACAGTTAGCAGGACAGTAGTAACATCACCAATTATCACTCCAAATCTCGTGAGACTAGAAGTCATCAAAAATATAAAAAAATATATCAAAAGTTCTACTCTTAAGGCTGGAATCATACTATTGCAGCCTATTACATTGAATTAACACAATTTATGTTGCACCTTAACATGCTGTTGCTAAAAGGCAGCCTATGAATGCGATTCACAGCGCACCACAATGGACAAGAAAACGCACATAGCCTTTTTTTTGGAACACAGTGCTTTGCTTTGTGTGTGCTGCTACTGCTTAGTGACGTGGGTTGCCATTCACGATGAATAATACAACGCTAACAGGGTTATTCACCAAAGGGTGAAGAGTTTGGAGAAGGCAGGAGAAGTGAACAATATAGGACAAAATAGCTGATCTCGTAAAATTCTCCAATTCAGCTCACTTTCCAGTTCAGCGATGTTGTCCTAGATTGTTCCCTTCTCCTGCTTTCTCCAAACTCTTCACCCTTTTGTGAATAACCCTGTAAATATATTATTACTATATAAAGTAATGTCGGCAAATATTTCACCCTGTGGTTTTCCTAAACTTATATAAAGGGAGGGGTGGAATATGTAGGCTATATATTGTGATGCTTTTATAGTTGTAATTTCCGAAATGCATCACCTGGTTTAACTGACTAAAGGTGTTAGTAAAGAGCCATTTTAAACGTTGGATGTGCTGATGCCTTCTGTCACATTGTTGAGGAGCACCAAAAGGAACATTAGTTTGATCTATCCTGGTTACCTGATAGGGAGATGGTTTGAGCAGAGCAGCCTTGTGTTGTAATTCATTGCATATAAGTAAAAATACAACAATTAAAGTGTCCCCATTGAAATTACAGACCTGTGCCCATCGATACGAGAGGAGAAGATTTGTGAACTCCCCCCAGGAATCTCGAGATATCACAGGAAGATGCTACATGCTGAGCCAAGACTTCACCATATCAGATGACATGGATGGAGGCGAATGGAACTTTTGTGATGGCCGTCTCAGAGGTCATGAGAAATTTGGATCCTGCCAGCAGGGTGTTGCTGCAACATTTACAAAGGACTATCATTATGTTGTGTTTGGGGCCCCAGGAACATACAACTGGAAAGGTATGGGGTTTTTATACTTCATAGTAACACAAAGGAGTACAACATCCGGTTGGGCTAAGCACATGAAGTGAAAATTAAGGTGCATTTTGTGAAAGCTGAGAAATATCATGTTAGTGTAGATTAAAGCAGAACTCCGGGCAAAATGGTTCCTAAGTGCACATTTTTTGTCTAGAGTTAAATATGTCTGAGTTAAAAATTAGTTATACTCTGATTTTCGGAGCCGGCTGGCTATTAGAACTTCTGCCCGAAGTTCTGCTTTAAAAATGATTATTACTGCGGTTCTATTTTTTTTGTATGGTTGCATAATTATGTTTCTGTACCTAACCTGCTTACATTGTTATACAGAGGTGCACTTTATGTAATAATATAAGTTTTGTTTTGCAGAAAACATCCAGTTACATCAGCGGTAGGCAACCTTGGCCCTCCAGCTGTTGGGGAACTAGAGGTCCCATGAGGACTGTTATGATGGGATTTGTAACCACCACTGCCAGGGTTGCCTACCCCTAAATTAGATACTTCCTCGTATTTCCTAACTCACACTATTAAATGACAATTGGAATGAGATGAGTTGTTAGGGAGAACACAGACATTCTCCCTTTCTCTAATAATTACAAATAACACTTTTTCAGCTGCACCCAGGTAATATGGGGCTCCCACAGTGACTCTACTTCATGGATACATCATCATACATTCATTTTCTTGTACATTCCTCACTTCCAGAGCAGTTCTATAAGGTCCATCTGATCAGAATATCCAGGATTATTAAAAAAAAAAAAATCAGACATTATGATGTCACATTACTTTAAAGGGAAATGATAATTTTCAGTCAGTAAAACTTTGAATTATTATTATGACATTTAGTCATTTTTGCTTTAAATTTCACATGATTGCAGTTAGTATACAGATTTGTGGCTTTTAGTGTCAAGAAACGTTTACACGAGGGCTGTTTTCTTCAGGCATCTTTGTGCATTTTCTACTTAGGTTTATGGGGTCTATTTATAAACAATTCTCCCATTCACCCTGTGAATCTCTGTGAACATTCGTTCTGTGTGAATACAGACAAAAACAAACGTTCCTAGTAAATTTTCTTTCCAGTTCGAATGTAATGACATGTAATACTGCATTGTGGCCACTAGATGGAGCTGAGGAGCATAATTGACATAATTTGGTATTACATTAAATTACAGGAAAAGAACATGTACTAAGAACATATACAAGAATGCCACTTTCGGGCAACACATTGGGGTTGTGATTAGCACTTCTGCCTTGCAGCACTCAGGGTCTCTGCTTCAAATCCTGGTCAGGAGTTTGCATGTTCTCCCGGTGCTTGTGTGTGTTTCCCCCCACACCTCAAAGACATGCTGGAAGGTTAATTGGCTCCTGTCTAAAATTGTCATTGTATGTGTGAATGTGAGATGGGGACCTCAGATTGTAAGCACCTTGAGGGCAGGGACTGATGTGAATGTGCAGTATGTGAAGCGCTGTGTAAATTGCTGGCGCTATATAATAACATACATTTTTGTCTCTAATCACATGGAATGTGGCTCTGAGAATTTTTTATAAATAGACCCCCATTTGTTTTATATGCATTTACAAAGATTTACCTAGCGAAGTAACTTATAGAAAAAAAAAACAATTCTGTGTACGAATGAGGCAAAATAATTGCACTTAGAAGCTTGCTATTGTTGATCATGTGAACTGCACCATTTATCAACATTATACTTAATGTATAAGTACATTATACTTACAGTATTTGGGTACAAAGTACATTAATGCCGTTACATACTGCTATTGTGAATGACACTATAGACTTAGGGGTCTTGTAAACCTTTCCCTGAAAATAAGACCTAGTGTCTTTTTTCATGAAAAAAAATAAAAATAAGACAGTGTCTTATTTTCGGGGAAACACGGTAATCCAACATTTATATGAGAGAAGAAAAGCTGGCCGCCTCTATGCACATACTGGGGGAATTTATCATAACTGGAGCAGACAAAATCTGGAGCAGATTTGCACAGCAACCAATCAGCTTCTATCTCTCATTTTCAAATCATTTACCTGAGCAAACTGAAGAGAGAAGCTGATTGGTAGCCATGGGCAACTGCTCCAGATTGTGTCTGCTCCAGTTTTGATAAATTCCCCCCTATGTATATTTTATATTCATAAACATAAGCAGAAAAAAATGCTAC